ATCTAGTTTGGGTTTCCACTAGGGTAGCCAGAGCTGTCTTCTGCTCCATGGGGAAGGGTTAGGCTGTGGTTCTGAAGTTCCCTCACCTCTAGTTGCCTTCACTTTGAGTTTGGTCATTGCTTCTCCAGGGGGATAAGGCATATCCGGGCTGACTCAAGGTTGCACCCTGCTGGTTGAAAGTAGATAGCTGGTAGCTGGTGATGTGAGGAAGCTCTCCTGATAAGAGTTCAGAGGCCAATTTGGACCAAAACCAGTCTCTTAACCTTTATAAACCCTACTTCCTTTGACCAATGAACCTATCCAAGCTTTCCATCATTTGGTTTTTTTGACACTATCACGCTGCATCTCTTTAAGAGTCATTGTACTTTGTGTATATTAAAATCAATTTTCTTTGAAAATGTTATGAAATTCCTGAAGGTAAATGAGAAACTTGGGGGAGTAACACTCATGTTCTTCTTGATCAGGAGCCCAAGTCCTGCCTTTTGGTTGATGAGGCCTATTGAACAAGCTAACTCAAGTAGCTATTGATTGAAATGAATCCAAGTGTCTGAAAACTATGAGGGCAGCACCCCCACAGTCACCACCACCTTCTTCTGAGTTCACTTAGGCAAGAGGAGGAAACAGAGCTCACGCTGCTCTTTTTCTTCCTCACAGAAAACCTGAAGTGAGGATGGAAGGATGCCAGCCTGTTTCACATTTAATGGGAGGAATGGTGAGAAACAGTCACCAGGAACTCTAATTTTATTATGAGAGAGGTTGGTGACTTGAAATGAAGAGAATGCTCTTTTTTTTTAATAGCTGATCATTTAAAATATATTTAAGATTTCATTCCCATCCATTTAAAATCCATTTTCCTAAAGACATAATAACTTATGGAAGATTAAAGCAAAATGTTTTTTCACGTGTAATATTTATGTCCTTCCCCCCCCCCCCAAGTGGAAACAGCATAAGGTACTATCAGCTCATGAGCGTTTTAAAGAGTCCTGAGGAGAAAGTATTTGAATTAGTGAGATGAAGGCCATCACTTCATTAGAAGTTGATGTGACATTTACCACAACCTTGATATTTTATAGTACCTGACAATGACACATTTATATTTTTGTAACGAAGGCGCTAGTCTTACAACCACCTTTGGTCTCAACTGCTGTTAGCTCTGTCATAGGGTTATGGCTTCTCATACCTCTCCTATTCTTAGCAGGAGGTTCTTTCTGATTTAATGAGTTTTCTCCTCGGTCTAGCAGCAATCAGAGAACAGATTCAGAACTTTTTTGGTTTCTTACCATAGTAATTCAACTTCTTCTTTATTAAATACAGTCGTATCAGGGAGAAAAATTCTGCAGTTGAAGTTTAATAAAATACCTGGAAATCGGGCCGACTGAGTGGCGCGATGGTTAAGAACTGGCTTGGGACGCCAGAGGGCCCGGTTTGGATCCCACATTTGAGGGCCAATGACACTGCCCTCCACAGCTAAGATGCTGAACAACAGCTCAACCTGGAGCTGGGCTGCTGTGAGTCACTGGCGATGGCATAGTCTGCAGCCCCTGTGGCAATGGGTTGCCATGGGCTACCGTATGTAGCCAGCAGCCAGCATGAGCGGCCAGCAGCCGCAGTGAGCAGCCGTCCAGAAGCCGGCGACTGATCTGCCTCGCCCGGGAAGAGCGCAATGATTGTGCCAACTTGGGCCAGTGAAGCAACGTCCTCCACAACTAGACTGAAGAACAAAACAATAGCAACTTGTCTGTTCCCCTCCCCCCAATTCCCCAGCACTGTTCCCATCCTCCCAATTCCCCAATAAAAAATAAAAAATCTTAAAAAAAAAAACATCAGAAATTAAAAAAAAACAACCAAAAACCTGGAAATCCCATTTGCAGGAGAAGAGAAGCTCAATGTGGAGACCTCTACAGCAGAGTCCCATCCTCTGTGTTGATTTAGAAATGAGATTCATTGTAGAGCCTACCCATTGTAACAGCCCTCCTCACTTATTGAACTTCTTCAATGCTTTGAATGAAGGGAATGTTTTTCACACAAGCATTTGGTGATTAATACCATTGGGTGGACGGATGGGACAGATCCTGTTTTCCTAAGGGCAGACCGCAGTGCTGGGAAGTGTACACCTAGAACTGAGTGTGGTCAACAAATGACTCCTTCAATAAGAGTGTGTGGAAGAAACATGGACTTGAGGCACTTGAGCTTGAGACATCTCGTGGAAGCATGAAGGACCCCGTATCAGGCTCTTGGTGATGTGAGTCAGTGTCAAGGGTGGGAAAGGAAGGGCAGGGACCATGGGCTTGGGGAAGGAAGACTCCATCAGATTTACTCTTGACCTGGGCCTCCCAATATTTGGGGTGGGTCTGTCTGCCACATTCACTATTTGTAGACTTTCCTAGTAAATAAATGGGAGAGATGGCTCTATAATCCAGCATGTAGAAAATGCTGAGTAGTGAACTAGAATGTGTTTTTCAAAAGAAAAATAAAAAGTGAAATTTAATACTTGTAATTTTAATGCTAATCATTGGGGAAGCAAAGTGAAAAAAAATCTTGGCAAATAATTTAAAAACCTAATGCATTAGTTACTAACTCCAAAGTTATACAGGCTGAGATGGGAGCAAACTGTTGTCCTAATTAAAGCCTTTCTTTAAACTGGAGAACCATCGTGAAACTAAAATCCTCTATATTGATCTACAACTGCTACCTGAACTTACTGCCGTTGGCTTAAAAAGAGGAGAGGATTCTTGTTTGTAAAAAATTTCATTGAAAAATGTTTAATGTAAAAGAAACACACACCATAAAATCACACACACACACACACACACACACACACACACACACACAAATGGTGGGGTGGAGTTGAAAGTGCATTGGATAGAAGGCAAAAATTCCTCCACTAAGGTGTATGGATTTGGAGAACATATTTATTTTCTGTGTTTCAGCTGCTGCAATGTGTTACTTGGTAACAACAAAAAGAACGGTGGGGATGAAGGGCTGCTGGAGGAGGTAGGTCATTGACCATAGAGCTGGACCAGGGAAATCACAGGCTCCTCACCTCCTCCCCTGTCCATGGAATGAAAGTTCCACCCACCAGTCCCACCCTAGGATTCATTTCAAGGATGCAGCCTTGAGAGAGTAAGGTGTTGTTGAGGCCCTCTGGGTGGTATACATGTTTAAAACCTATTAGGGCCTCTATTAAAATTTTAGGATTCTGGCAAGAGGGTGCAGAGATCTACTGATCTTGTGGTCACCCAGGACAAGACTCATATGTAAGTTCCCTTGTTTATTAAAACTGCCACCTACCAATCTGCCTCTTTCTTAGGTGTTTTCTTGCCCTCCACGTATGGGGGCCAGTTTTCAAACTAATAAAGGTTTAAAAATAAGTACAATAATTAGGAAGGTTGGAGTCAAGTTCTGCTTCTGCCTCTGCTTCTGTCTGTATTTGAACTTGGACATATCATTTAACCTCACCTTAAGCTTTCATCTTCTCACCTGATAATTAAGGGGGCTAGACTAGATCAGTTCTGAAATTATGTTTATTTGTATTTGAAATATACTATGAAACATCTGTCATGTATCTATGACAAAAATGCAAAAAAGAACAAAGTGTCCTTCGATAGATGATTGGATAAAGATGATGTAGTATGTATACACAATGGAATACTATTCTGCCATAAGAAAAGATAAAACACTACCATTTGTAACAACATAGATGGACCTTGAGATTATCATGCTAGGCAAAATAAGTCAGACAGATAATGTGGAGAACCATATGACTTCACTCATATGTGGGATATAAAACTTAAAGCAACAAACAAGACAAACAAACAAACAAAAAATCATAGACACAGACAACAATTTAGTGGTTACCAGAGGGTAAGGGGGGTAGGGGGTGGCTATAGAAGAGGGTAAAGGGGGTCAAATATACGGTGATAGAAGGAGAACTGACTCTGGGTGGTGAGCACACAATGTGATACATAGATGATGTATTATAGACTTGTATACTTGAAACCTATATAATTTTACTAACCACTGTTACCCTAATAAATTTAATTTTAAAAATGCAAGAAAGTTTTAATTTAAACAAACAAGCAAATAAACCTATTCAGCTTTTCAACAATCATTTACAAAATGCCTGCTATTTATTCATTGCAAATAAGTCTTGAGTTCAAGAGGCTAGATATTTGAGACAGAGATGAACTGTGATGAAAAGGAGAAAGGGATAGCATGGGTTTCATTAACTTCCAAACCAATACCCCAAATCATTAGCCAAAATACCACAATGTTAGTAGCATTTCCTAGTCGTTAATCACCTGCCAAAATTTAAACAGCAAATAAGGCATGGCATTTTATAGGAATAAAATGTCTGCTATCTCCTTTTAAAAAATAAAATTCCCTATGTTGGTTATACATTCCAGTATGGAGAAGAAATCATATTTCAAAAATATAATGAGCACTGGTGGCAAACTAACCTATTATTATCCAGTCTGATGTCAAAGAGAGGAAAATACCTGTTTTGGTAGTCTGTGCCATTTCACCATCCTCGCATTGTATGTCCAGAGAAATGAACTGCTTTTACTCAAATACATTAACATCTCCTCTTGATTGACTCATTTAAACAGAACAAGGTCTCAAGCCAATGTCTCCGATAACACTCGTCAACTCACTGTTGAAAAATATAAGGTATATTACTGACTAGTCTTGAAACATGACAAGCTTTTCTTTTTACAATCACTCACAAGAAGCTCCATTGATCTATATTTGGCATTCTTCATGTAATGGAAATATCTACCTGCTGGTGGTAGGTGGAATAGTGCCCACCCCCCACAGACGTCCACAGTCTAATCTCTAGAACCTGTGACTATGTTCCTTACGGGCAGAAGGGATTCTGCAGATGCGATTAAATTAAGGATTTTGAGAGGGGAGGCTATCCAAGGGGCCCAATGTAATCATAGCACCTTTATCAGGAAAAAAATAGTAAAGGGAGTTAGGGAGTCAAAGAAGATGTGACGATGGAAGCAGAAATCACAGCTCCCTTGCTGAAAGGGAGCCATGAGCAAAGGAATGTGGATAACGTCTCGAAACTGAAAAAGGCAAGGAACGAATTCTCCCCTCAAGCCTCCAGAAAAAACGCAGCCCCACACACACAATATTAGCCCCATAGGACTCCTTTCAGACTCTGACCTCCGAAACTGTAAGATTCAAAGTTTGTGTTGTTTTAGGCCACTAAATGTATAACATTTTGTCACAGCAGCAACAGGAAACACACTGCATGCTGGGTAGCAGAATCCTAGTCCTCTTCTGCGGTTCTTCCCTCCCACTAACCCCTGAGGAGTTCCTGTGAAGATGACTCATCTGCTCACAATCCATGTCATGCACCAGGGTCTTCACCATCACCACCACCACCACCTCTTTCTTCCATATAGTTCCCTGTTCTGCAGGGGTCTGCCCCTTGCGTCACATCCATCACACTCTGCAGTTTGGGGTACCACCAACAGCTTGTTCCTGCTGCTTCTACCATCTCCACATTGGTTTGGGAACTGCTGCAACCTCCCCTTACCATTGTAGCCCAAATGTTGGCACTGGAGTGTTCCCATAGTATGTTACAATGTTTATCAGTAGTCATCTGAAGAGGCAGCATTCAGAGAGTAACTTTTAGCTGGTTACTAGACACGACTACTCTCAGATAACTAAATTACACGCCAATCTGATTGGTGTGTGTTCCTGCCTTACTATAAGGCTTCCTCCCTGTTTAGCTCACAGCCCACATCTCAGTGGGTGGAATCCAGCTCTCCCTTCGCCATTAAACATGCTCCTGAATGACTCCTTTGCCTCTCATCCTAACTCAGTGAAAAGGAAGTATTCCTTGCCCAGCTCCACTCTACGTCTCATTTTCCAAGTCTTCATTTCTGTCCCAAGATCGGCCTCTCTTTAGAAATGACCGATGGGATAATTTCCACTACCTTCAAGGGCAATCTCCGCACTCAATAATAGGGGAGCAAATCCTATGTTCCCAATAGAATAATTACATTACAACAAAGTAGCCCAATACCTGTAAGACAGATAAAGATGTGGATATAACATCAGAGCCACTTCTTTACACGACAGCTTCCAAATGAAAGAAAGAACAATTGAGAAAGAGGTAAATAAAGAACCCAAAGGATTTCAATATTGTCCTCTCCTGGGTGTGGAACTGTAATCCCCTGCTTTCTATGGGGCAGTTGCAGTTGGCTCTCACACTTAGGCTCAGCCAAGATGTTCTGTTATATGTGTAACATACTTGCGCTGAGTTTGTAGTGGAGAAATGTAGAGTAGCAAAGAGACAAAAGATGAAGGCAGATATAATAGAGAAAGATTCTTTGTAGTTAAGATATGAGTACAAACTCATTAAAATATGAAAAAAATGCTAAGAATAAATATTTCCCAGCTTCACAGAGTTTTTTAGCTATTTCTTTGTATGTTTTGTGGATTAAAAAAATAAAGTGAGGGGCCAGCCAAGTGGCGCGATGGTTGGGAGCTGGCTTGGGATGCCAGAGAGCCCCGGTTGGGATCCCACATGTGAGGGCCAGTGACACTGCCCCCCACAGCTAAGATGCTGAACAACAGCTCAACCTGGAGCTGGGCTGCTGTGAGTCGCCAGCGACAGCGTGGGCTGCAGCCCCTGTGGCAGTGGGTTGCCATTGGCTACCGTGTGTAGCCAGCAGCCAGCGTGAGTGGCCAGCAGCCGCAATGAGCGGCCAGCCGGCAACTGATCTGCCTCACCCGGGAAGAGCGCAATGATGGTGCCAACTTGGGCCAGTGAAGCAACATCCTCCACAACTAGACTGAAAAACGAAAATGACAGCAACTTGTCTGTTCCCCTTCCCCCAATTCCCCAGCACTGTTCACATCCCCCCCAATTCCCCAATAAAATATCTTTAAAAAATAAAAATTAAAAAAAAATGAAGTGAAGACAGAAGGTTCCTACTTACTACATATTTTTACTGACTTGTCTTCTGGATTAAGAGAGATTTTCTTAGAAAACATATAGGTTAAGCCTAAAGATGACGCAAGAAAACATTAGGGTTTTTTTCTTTCAGAAAATGCTAATACAGAAGCTCAGTGTTGAAGGACTGTTGTATTCAGTGCTGTATTTCAGGAACAGAATTAGTGCTCAGCAGGCACTCAGATCTTTCATTAGAAATGCCTTTGATTACTCCTAATTCCCAGTAATCTTTTCCTTCTCCCATTTCTACGGTAGTTAAATTTTAAACTGTGTAATCTACCATTACATTTCATCCTGCCTTTAATTGACTTCTAGCTGTGTCGTGTGTGGACTTAGGCTCCACTTAAGCACAAAATGACTTACCCAAGATGATACTTCTCATTTTACAAAGCTTGAGGGGAGATGGTGTAGCATACATAGCCTCTGAGTTTGGAATGCCTGGCTGTGATCTCTAATCTCTACACTACTAATTAGCAGCTGTGAGACCTTGGGCAAATACCTACCCCGAGCCTCTGTTTTATCATCTGTAAAATGGAAGTAATAATGATATCTCTCTCATATGATGATTAAATAAGATCATCGTGTAAGGGATCTGGCAATACCTGGTACATGCATGCGATTATTTTTAATCAAATCCTAGTATGTGTTGATAGTTTTTGTTTCTGTTTGTATTGTCTTTAAATCGAAAGTACTTAGTGGCAGAGAACAGAGTATTTTTGAGAGGGCGCGAGGTGAGTGTACTAGCTGAAACATTAAGTATTATTTTACTGGCATCAGCTCTTAAGGCAAAATGTAGAGGGCATATGGGTCTGTAAGCTTTTTCAAAGCAAGGATTACAGGTTTTCAGTGACAAAACTCCAGAATCTTGCCACAGTGCTTGACAAATAGAAGACACATGCTTAATATTTGCATAATTCATTAATAAATAAGTGGGTCTTGGTATAAGAATCCAGGCATACTGCTTCTGCTTCCAGAGAGAGCTATCCTGCTGGCCACAAATTCGGCTCCCAAATGCAGAAGGTAGGTCACTGTCCTTGGTTCCAGCATCTAGCTAGGATGGTATCTGTTCATCTTTGGCAAACTGCTGTCTTCTATCCCTTCAAAAAGTCCTTTCGTGCGGTGGACTTTCAAGGCACGGAGACAAAAATCCCCACTCTCCCACCCCCGTCTGTTCCCCCAAGGGGCTACTTCTCACTATCTCAGATTCTTCTAATGTTCTGAGGTCTCAATGTCTTGCCTGCTGAGCCTCGAGCTCTCTGCATGAGAATCCTGGTCTTTCTTCATCTGGTCCTAGATTGTTAATATGTTGACTACCTGGAGTCCTTGGCAGTCATTTCAGAGAACATATATCCCTCGGCCACACCTCCTTCTTAAAGGGTAGGCAAGTCTGCCCGCGGTTCTTTTTTTCGACTCTGGGGGGGGGGGGGGAGGCTGGAGGACTACGCAGCCGTGGCTCCCCAAATCTGTCCAGCCCAGGAAGCTCCTGCTGTTCGGCTCTGCTCCCTGTCACAGTCCCCCCCGCCGCCCCCCTGCCACTCTGCAAAAAGGCCCGCTAGACTCCTGGGCAGTTGGAGTCAGTTCCAGAATCCCGGGGAACGCTGCAGTATAACTCCTTTGGCTCCAACGCCGCACCCTCAGATGCCACGCAGCCGGGAAGACTCGCTCAATTGACTCTGTGCGGATGAACGGTACCCTCTGTCCTTCTCCCTCTCCACTCAGCCACCCTTTATGCGGTTATTAGACCGAGACTCACACTGCAATGGCTTCTAAACATCAAAAATAAAAATGTACCAAAAAATCCCCTGCGGATTATGTGTGTGTGTGTGTGTGTGTGTGTCCATCCGCACTTGTGCAAAATCTCCAAACGCCAGAGTTTGCAATCCGGACAAGCGCGCCGAGAAATCCGAGCTCTTCCCAGGGATCCCCCTATACTCTGCCTCTGCTGCTTCAGCACACCCAGAGAAGGTAGGTCTGGGGCTTTCTCAAACCGCCGCTGCAGCGATAGAGGCGATACAAATCAGCTGCGATTTCCCTTCTTTTGCTCCCAGCCTTCTTCTCAGGCGAAGAGTCCCGAGCGCAGGGTTTCCTTCTGATTGCCCCGCATTCTGCATTGCAAGCTGCTGACCAGGTGCACGTGCTTCCCTGGCCTCAGGCAGTCTGCTGCTCCGGAGACCAGCTGACCCGCGGGGCTCAGACCTCCGCCTGGGCGGTGGGTGGTGCTCCCGCCGCCCCCACCTTCCCCTGAGGCCCTGGGAAGCTGCGCGCTGGGCGTGTGTGCGCGCGCGCGCGCGGAACTGGTAGGGAAACCTTCAGTGGAAGCAAAGGAGTGTCGCGGGCAGAGTATTCTGGAGCCCAGCAAAAGCCTCCAAAGCCCTGGAGCTTCCCCAAAAGAAAAACAGACTCAAAGAAATAAAAGAAGGGAAGCCCATTCCGCGTAAAGCCCGGATTTCCAATAGTCCCGGAGCTGAGCAGAGGCTCAGCTGGACGCCGCCGCCGCCGCCGCCGCCGCGGCTGGTACCCGGACTTGGACCCACGCTTTTTCTCCCCCTTTCGGGAGGAGGGAGGTGAGGGACTTGCAGGAAAGAGTTGCACCAGCTCTAGGAACCTGCAGAGAGGAGAACTCCGGGGTAAGTAGCGTTCTGGCACCGGAGCGGAAAGGGGGAAGGGGGGGCAGGAGAGGGCCGAGAGGGAGAGGGCAGGGAATGAATTATGGAAGAAAAAAAAAAAAAACATCCGCAGCAAAGGGAGAGCGCAGCACGGCACTCCCAGGATGAGTCCTGCCTGAGGCTCCCGCACCGAATCGGTTGGCGCGAAGTTCTATTTGAGGAGAAGAGAAACTCCCCAAATCCCGGAGGGTGACAGAGGCAGCCGGGGCGGGGCGGAGTCGGAACCGGGCTAGGGCCCAGGCGGCTGCCGCGGTGGCCCGAAGCTCCGACACCCGGCGCCCCGATCCTCCTCATGGCCGCGTGGAGCCTCATCTCCCCACCCCGGCCTCCCGCCTCTGCGCCCGGGAGCGGGCGGCTGGATTCCCGTTGGGGCTCCCGGCGGCGGCGAGGACGCTCACCTGGCCGAGCCTCTCCCTCCTCCCTTTCGCATCCCCACCTGCCCTCCTCCTCCCCTCCGAATCGGGAAGCGTCGGGATCCGTAGGCGAGGAAATAACGACCCCTGCAGTTGCATTGCGGAAAATCTCGGCGGCGGCGGCGGCGCCGCTAGTTGCGGGCGATGGAAGCGAGGGTTCTGGGGAGCCCAGGAAAATAGCAGAGGAGCCGAAAGCGCGCGCGCGACGTGGGGAGCCCGCGGGTCTCCGACGCGCCCGGGTCGCGGGCTCCCGGCGGTTCCCGCTCGGCGCCCCGGACGCACCGCCCCGGCTGCGAGCAGACTTGGGAGCAGGGAGGGTCGGCGGAGGCTGCCGGCGGCCGGCGTTTTCGGGCAATAATCCCTGCCTTTCTCTCTGTGTCTCTCTGTCTGCTCCGTCTGCTCCTACCCCCCACCCCCAGAAGCAGGAGGACGGCCCCAGAGAGAAGCAGCCACCCCCTGACCATGCCCCGGTGAGGGGGGCGGACTTCGAGGGCAACTTGTCGCGGACTGCCTAGGCTCAGCCAGCGAGCTGCGAGCTGCCGGGGTCCGGAACTACGCGGCGCGGCCCGGCGGGGGGCTATCGTCTATGTCTTCTTGGGGCGCCAGGCGGATCGGGGTCTCGTTTTTGCAGAAAGAGCCCAAGTCTGGTGGCTTCAGTTGGCTGCTGCCGCCGCTGCTAGTGCTATTTCCGCCGCTCGGGCGAGGAGCCGAGCCCGGCGAGCGGGGAGACCTCCGGGGCAGCGAGGCATCGGACATGTGTCAGCACATCTGGGGCGCACACCCGTCGAGCCCAAGGGGAGATTTGCCGGAACAATTCAAACTGCGATATTGATCTTGGGGGTGACTGTGCCTGGCCGGCTGTTGGGTGGGAGTGCGAGTGTGCGCTCACTCGGAAGTGTGTGCGCGTGTGTATGTGTGTGTGCCGTGTCGGGCTCCCCCCTTCCCCCCTGTTTTCCCGTCGAGTGATGCACTTGGAATGAGAATCAGAGGATGGAAATAGTCTGGGAGGTGCTTTTTCTTCTTCAAGCCAATTTCATCGTCTGCATATCAGGTATGGGGCGCGCTGGAGTCACCGGCGGGTTTGTGTTATGTTGTTTGGAATGTATAGGGTTTTACTGTGTGCAAGACACTCAAGTGGCCTCGCAGGGTGGGAGGGAAGGGTGGTGGTGGCAGAGATCCTTTCAGCTCTGGGTTTGCTGCCTTCCGTATTAAAAACCTTCTACACCCAAGGTGAGGTAGGTGTGTGTGTGTGTGTGTGTGTGTGTGTGTGTCGGGGATAGTATTTGTATGGAGTCCTGGAACGTAGAAGAGATAAGAGATGAGGAAAAAAGAGGCAGATGGGTGTTGATTTTCAACTGCTTTCTGGCTGAGAACTCTGGCGCCGAAATCTGAGCCTTGGCAACCCCCACTCGCATCCCCTGGCTTTCAAAGTTCCCAAACTCGGTGGCTCTGGCTGGCAAAATGGACGCAGAGCCCTGCTCTGGTATCTGGGCACTTTCAAGAGACTGCAGGAGAATGCGGGACTGGAGATTACCAGCAGGGACCAGAAGGATGTGGAGGTCCTTCCTGCCTTCCCCAAACCCATCAGAATGGGTGCTGATGGTGTGAAACATGCTAGCCCACCTCCCTCCACCCCAAATACATGCCAAACCCATAGGAAGCACAGCATCATAAATACCGCTTTCCTAATTCCCCGTGACAAGGATGTGCTGGCTCAGCCCCTGACCTCAGGCTACTTATGCCAGTCTGTGGTTTTAGCAGCTAATAGGAAGCCAGTTGAGGTGAACGAGGTAGGGCTTGTGCCTGCCTGTGCCTGTGTGTGTCTGCGTGTTGGGAGGGATTCTGATTTCCAAGCAGTGTCTTTGTCGGTGCAGGGAGTTGGGGGTGTGAGGGGAGCTGTGAGAAAAAGCTCCTGGATCAGCAGTATTCCCCAGCTGGGTGCCTCCTCCCTTTTCCCGTCACACCTGTCACTTAGGCACCCAGGGGAAGGCCCATTCATAGTGCTCCCCTCTGCCTGCATTTCTGCTGCAGAATTGTGGACTCAGCCAACTTCCCTTGAAGTCACCAGGAGAGGAGGGCAGGAATCCTGCCACATTGGAGCAGCACTGGGGTGCCTGGATCTGTTTCCTGCATCTTCCTTCAGCCCAGCCAACCTCCACGGGTCTAAGGCAGACCGGATTCTGGATATTGAAAACCCCTGTCTGCCCTTACCCTGAACCCAGTTCCAAATACCACTACCCGTTTCAATGTTCTTCTCATAGGGCAGGAATAGGAAATCTTTTGTTCAAAATCATTCTTTTTGGGGGCTTGGCCACCCTGCTAAGAAATTTGCCTCTGTAATACCTTAGAGATACATTATATACCTTGCAGATAGTAAAAGTGCCCTAAAGTCCTCTAGTGGGACCTCTTTTACCCTATCCTATATCTAAGAGGAAAGATTCCCAGGTGACTTGTAAAGATTTATATCAGTCATATATCTAGGAATGAACTGGGTGGCATCTCACAAGGCCACATTTGATATCTTTCTCTTTTCCATGTCTATTTCAAACTCTTCCTTGTTCCATTATATTTCACAGTTGTAAAATACCCTTTTCCCTACCTCTCTCCAGCATCATAAATAATTTTCAAATGAGGCAAACCATCTGAGTCCCTTTTAGGTTTAGAAAGGGCTAAAGGCTCTGGACCCCACCAGCATCCTTTATTTCCAGCCCCTACCCTGTATTTGGTCAGGCCATCAAGGGGACCCATCTGAGAATGGGTCTGTTCTTAGCCTCCAAAAGAGGCATTAGTGGGATACCTGTCACTTGATTTCCTAATTGATTTGGTGTATCAGCAACTAAATTACATAAATAGAAGCATTAGGTTGGGGGTGGGGTGTGTATTTCTAACCCAAGAGGGGTGCTATGGAGCACTTGGCCTTTCACATGTACTTACCAAATAATCATCATTGCTATGTAATGAGAAGATAAAGTGTAAGTGAAATTGCTAGCTATTAGCTAAACACAGAAAACTAGGTTAGCGTTCCAAATGCCTAGTTAGGATCTGCATTAATTTGCACTTTATGAAGACATTTAGGCAGAGATGCACCATTATGTACTTTATAGTTACACATGTATAAACTGTAAAAGGCTATTCTTTCTCCAGGGCCAAGGTGGCTTCGGCCCTCCATAAACAGAACTACTCATTCCGTGTCACAATTCTGATTAGCGATATAATTATGACTCACAGTTTGGGGGACTTTGTTTTCCCATCTGGCAACCTTAAGAGGGACTGGGATGAATGTGAGGCACCGAGGCTGAAGAATTGTGTCTCAGGGAGAGTTTAGTAGGTCTTTCATTTCTGTTTCCATGATTTGCAGTTTTAATTTACTTACGACTGAGCTTTACCAAAAGCAACAGGATCCTTGATCATAGAACCTACTAAATCTTAAATTTAAAAACAAACAAACAAACAAAAAACTCTTATCTACCATCTTGGGATGAATGTCCCCACCCAGGAAATGGCTACTAATTATTCTTGCTGAGTTACCAGGCATCAATGATGGATGCATTGGTAGGGTTGGCTTTATTACTGAGGAATAATACCAGGTTAGAAAAAGCCAGCAAAAGTCTGCAGTGCAAACATTTTGCAGAAGGAAAATTTTGGTGATAGACCTGGCCTGTAGAAGGTATTTTGACTGAATTTCAGTTGGTAACATTTGCTCTCAGAAACATTCTGGTGCTTTGTAGCTTGGTGTTTTGTTAATCAAAGGTGCCTACCCCTACCCCACCCCCCAAATGACAAGTATATCCAAGGGGTTTTCTCCCTGAGTCTGTGTAGATATAGTCCTCGAAATACAGAGACCCCCGTTTGGTATGTTTGTTGGTTCTGCAGTAATCATTTGGTTGTGACAAAGCTGTGATAACTTCCCAAGATTGTTGATCCTACAGGGTAATTGTAAGGCACAAAACACTCTTTGTACAATACCTAGCATAGTGTGTAGCATACAGCAATCCCTGGCCACAAATGCGACTGGGGGTCTGCTTGTCCAGGCTTAGCCAGCTGCTGAGGAAGTAGTATGTGTGTGCCTTCCATTTGAGAGATCGTATCAGTTTTGGCTACTTAAGGACAACACAGCTAGGCTGATGAGGGAATGCCACAATCGGAGTTCTTGAGGCTCCATGTTAGCTGCAGATCTCATTTTCTGAAAATGTAAGGCAGCCAAGCTGTGTGTGTGTGTGTGTGGTAGTGGTGGTGGTGGTGGTGGTGGTGCAGGTGCAGCGGCATGGGGGGAGGGGCAGAGAGAGAGAGAGAGAGAGAGAGAGAGAGAGGGAGAGAGGGAGAGAGGGAGAGAGGGAGCGAGGGAGCGCGAGAGCCCAGGATGATTTTTCTCTGTGCTAGCAAGAGCACCATTCCATTCTTACAAAAGCAGCTCAGATCAGTGAGAATGAACGCTTAGCAGCACCAGGAGAGAATTTCCTGGATTTAAAAACAGCTGTCTGATGCTATTTACACAACTCATTCTACTTCCCTCTATGTAACTTTCCTTCTTTGTCAGTTTATTCATAA